ACTTGCAATGAATAGAGGTATCAGATTCGGAATAGTGCTGTATTATTATCCTGTGAAGTTAAACATTTTTAAGATCCTGGGAACCAGCGTTGAAACCCGTTTTGCCAAGCTGTAAACATTACAATTTCCTAACTTGATTTCCCAAAAGTTTTGAAGGCATCAAACCCAGATGGCATTTTGTTTAAGTGAAGCACAATGCAGGGCAGACAGTGTAATTTTCTCCAGGGAGCAAACAGCTCTGCCCCTGCGTTCGTACCGAGTGCCTCCGCCAACTGCAGCTGGAATCGAAACGCTCTGGTGATGATGTGGGTCAGGGGTCAGGGTTTCCCCCGAGGAAACTGGTCAGCGGAGGTGATGAAGGCTGAGCTGTCAGACAAACTCCACACGCACAAAATCCTCAACATCTGTAGAACGATTAGATTGACTTTTGGCTGCAACAACTTGCTGAGCCTGACGCAGCAACGGCCTGCAATCCAGCTTATGATCATTAAGTAACGATATGGCTGCGTGCAACATCCGTAATCCTATTAATTCATCGCACATGTGCGCAACGGTTGGTCGTGACAGCTCGATCTTCATCATCAAACGCCTGAAAAAACCGCGCTCATATGGAGTACAGTCTGCAGAGCGCTTCATTTTAACATGTAAAAAGAACAACGAGGCAGTTTAAGGATGTCAAAAGCAGTTGAATCAGAATAATTACAATGAAAACAGAAAAGCAATGAAAATAAAGTCCTCAAAAGTACCTTTCAAAAGCATTTTACAAACATGTCTTGTGATTATGAGACTTAAAGCATCAAGCCAAGCTAGCATCTGGAACTGGAACAGTACTTCAATAAGAGAAATACAATACACAACACATCCCTTACATTCATGCTCACAAGAAGACTCAATACATAATACAGCTAGACACACTAAGATGCACAGTACATGGTATATCATGTAGTTGTCTCTTTTTCCAACTCCTTACCTTAACTGAATAAATATTTAGTAGTGATAATAAACAAAACTTTAGGGAAAACTTACGAATTAAAGAAAAAGAAAGTTGTGTGGCATCAGCTTTAACTCATAGATAGCATCTCATACTACTGTTCTGGTAAACATGTTGACTTCTGATGTTGCTGTTTACAGATTTATCTTATCTCATGTGCACTATGAAAATGACCCATTAGCTCTAGTGGCTAGTCATACCCTAGCAGCTGTTGCGAACCGACACAACACATAGCCTCTGTTGTCTAATCCACCAACGCCAGTTACCTCAAAATGGAATTTAACAAATTAATCGGTCTATCACAAGTCTAAGGCTCACCAAAGTTCTACAGTTAGTCCTGAGGGATGACATAAATGTATTTGCCTACTGTTAATGAACTCAACTGGTTCGCTATTCTCTTGACTGAGTAGTGCCATGTCAACACTTAAGGCAAATTACTTTGGACAAAAAAGGCTAAAAACAACATAATAGGTGTGCATTTGTTGTAAAATTACAACAGATGGTGTTTGGTGGCATTGAAGAATCATTCTTATTGGTTTATCAACCATCCTTGACACACACTGCTGCTCTATTATCCAGTGGCGAGAGTCTACTTGTGATTTTGCAGATCTGACAATGTCTGGAGGCACTTCCCTAATCCTTAGTGTCACTCTTTGATCCCATCACCCCTTTCTCATTGCCAGACCCCCTGACGTGATCATCCTTTACCCTTTGTTGACTCTGCTCTCAGATCCTAGCGCCATTTATAAACCCACTTCCCACCTTTTGATCACAATTGCATCTACATACCCTCCCCAACTGTAACCATCTGTGAAAAATGTTGCACTCTGCCAATGTTCCGGGTCGGCTTAACTTCACAAACTCACTCTCTGTGTCGGTACGCCCACCATATGCTGAAATACCAATGAAACACCCCCATTACAGCAAACTGAATTTCTTCAACAGTGCTGATGCTAAATTCAGGCGTGTTTCTGTGTATTCTTGCTGTCAAAAATCACATCTGATGGAACACATACACTTCCATTTGAGTCAGTGCAGCTGTCTACATCGGCCATGTAACTGCTTGTGTTCTACTCACGCCATACACAACCCAAAGTTTATGATGACACATCAAGTCTGTTTCTTTTTGTTTTATGTGTGGAATTACAGTGATGATGTGTTGGACTCTGCCATAATGAGGCAAACTTGTCACTGCTTAATTAGAGTAGACATAAGTATTGTTTGATCACAGATCTTCTTGCATTGTGATTAGGTTAGGTAAACTTCAACAAATGGCTCAGATAAAGCGGATGACCTAGTCAGTTGTGCTGCATGGAGGGGAGGTTGTATTGCAGTTTGGGGATGTGTTCTAAGTGTATTGTTTTTGCTGAGAGCAGGATTTGAATTGTAAATCACAGAGTTTATTGCAGTGTTTGGAACATTGCACACACCACACAGTGGTGTAAACCTTGAAGAACTTTTGTCTTGTCCATGGGGAATAGAAGCCCGCGAGGCCTCACCACCTTCTGGTTCTCCTCCAACCGAGTCCTCCTCGCTGGAAACCTAAACCAGACACTTATTTTCACTCCCTCTCCCTGGTGACAGTTTGACTGCACACCACTAACCTCAGGAGGGAGCAAGGGAGGGTCAGAACAGGGAAGAGGCTGAAGAGGCATCTGGCCCTGTCTTGCTTTCACTCAAAGCAGACGCAAGGAGTCAGACAAAGATGAAGTCAGAGCTTATTATGCCTGTCTTCTAAGAGCTGCTTCCAAAAATCCCAGCTGAGCTGCCTCTCTGTGGGCCAAAAACTGTCTCAGTTGGGCCTTTTTCACTGCAGGAACAATCCCTAGGCAACAGAAGCCTCAGTGCATTTCCACTACAGGTACCAGAGTATAAAGTCGGTTCAGGAGATTTTATTTAACGAGTTAAAAAGTTTCCTGCTTGGACAGGAACTTTGGTGGCAGAATATTGCTGAGTGGTTGAGTACTTGCACCATTTTTTATCATCTATTGTTGTGTAAAAACAGCTTTCTACTGCAGAAAGTCGGGACAAGAGCAAGGTCGGCCCTGTAATGGTCCCCTCAGGCTATTTGTTTCTATTGCGGTGTGGGATCCAACAGCTTTAAATGCGATGTTTGTCTCCAGTGTGCCAAAACGTTGATTCGTCAGCATGGACTTCCAGAAGAACGCATACAATGAATTATAGTATAGTCGCTCGTGAAAATGACGTATAAAAGCAGCCATCGCTTTTCATGTGTCATCCAAATTTGCCTCATCTTTGAGAGTCTTTAGACTGCATTGAAAATACAAACCAATGGTCTCTACCTGGACCCCAATAGAGTGAAAGGAATAGTTCTAGGAAATACAATAATTTGCTTCAGTCCTTTTGTATTTTAGCCTAATTTAAAGCCTGGAAAGCCTAACCCTAACCCTGGTTCTATCTAAAAGTAGCAAAAATCTGCCTAGCAACACTTGTAAAGTTTAAGATTAAGATATTTTGTCACAATTGTTTAATTTAATCCAGCACTTTATTATAAATTGTCATTTCTACACCTCCAGACCTTGCTCACTCATATTGAGCAGACAGCAGTGATATCAATTGTGTCATGTAAATATTTGGAGATCAAAATTGATAGCTCGATTCCAGCACAGCAAACAAATAGTCGGTTCCAGCTCTATAGTCCAGCAGACTTTTCTACTTCACATGTGATATTTGATAGTAACAGAAATTGTTTTCGCTTGCTTTCGTCCAGCTTATCAAGGAGACTTTTACGTCACTTTTGGAAATTTCCTTCAAAGCTCATCAGTGATGATCTTCTTCATTGTTGAGTAACTGATGATGTGGTGGCATGGGACTGGGAGAGTCTTGAGAAACAAGCGAGTGCAGAGTGTTTGTTCTGAGTCGGAACCCATAAACGATTTTATTAAACGCCTGCAGATATCACGTAACATGACCATTTTTGTGCCAAGTAGCAATAAAAGTCAAATAAATCACCAGATTTTAAAGAACAAAAGACTTTAATCTTTCCTTTTTTGCCAACAAGACTTATAAGTTTATATTTGCACTTCATATCATCTATCCTCAATGCCGACTTTAGTGTCTATCCTTCACTTATCAATGTGTTAGTGTTGCTGCCAAGATGGCTGCCACAGCATCATTAGCTCCAGGTCACAACTTTGTTTCCTGCCTGGTCTTGAGTGACAGGTCTTCTGTTTTTGCTCACACCATCAGCCATCCAACGCCTTTCACTGCGCTGCTCAACATCATGTGCTTGGAGGCCTATGAGCACTCCTCTGTCAACTCAGATGTGTTTGCTTTGGATCGGTTCCACTGTAATTAGAATTGTACTGAATATGTATCACTGTGTAATTTCCAGTACAAATATGCTCTCTGTGACTAGACAACCCGTTGCTTTTTAAATAGGCTGTGAGAGGAGTCCTTTGTAGGAGGAAAAGTATAGTCTTCAGTTTCATAAAATTATACTGGCAGCATTCTCGGTGTTTAGATTATTTTATTAAAATGTCATACAGTAGCATGTGAACATTATATAAATAAACTCGTGCAGCAGGGACTATTATCCTATCCGGACCAGTTCATGAGCTGGTTCTGCAACATATGACAGTGTGGGCAAGAAATACAGAGGAAGGATTTCCAGCAATTTTTCAGTATAATGTAGATTTCCACGGCAGTAATTTCATCAGTGCAGTAACAGGGTCATGCCATACACACCACTCTGACTTTTTTTTTTTTTTTTAACAGAAATACCTGCGTCATCCATCTCTTAATCCAAGATCATGGTGAAGCGTGCCAGGCTGGATGATATTTAGTGTGAAAAATTAGCTGGAAATGTTGCATTTATAGTAGCTCAACCCTTATTTAAAAAAAAAAAAAGAAAAGTGAAAGGATAGTGAATTAACAACAGTATTTTTGTGAGACACTTGTTCTAAATTAGGTCCCTGTTCCCTCTGCCGCTGCTGTGTTGAGTATTGAAATCTTGTCACTGATGGGATGACATCTGTTTTTTTCACAGGTATCAGATCCATACAGGCCTTCAGCATTCCATCATCCGAGCTACCCAGCCCAACTGCCTACCCCTGGAAAACGTCACCCTGCCACAGAAGCTCAAGCAAGCAGGTTACGCCACCCACATGGTGGGCAAGTGGCACCTGGGCTTCTACAAACGAGGCTGCCTACCTACCCAGCGTGGCTTCGACTCCTTCTTCGGCTCTCTGCTTGGAAGCGGGGATTACTACAGTCACTACAAATGTGAAGGGCCCGGTATCTGTGGTTATGATCTGTACGAAGGGGAGGAGGCAGCGTGGGAACAGGATCGTGGGTTGTACTCCACTGTGATGTTTACGCGCAAGGCTATCGGTATCTTGGCCAATCACAACCCTCGCAGACAACCCCTGTTCCTCTACTTAGCTTACCAGGCGGTTCATTCCCCGCTTCAAGTTCCTGCCCGCTACCTCGAGCGCTACAAGGGCATTCCAAACCTGCACCGCCGTAAATATGCTGCCATGGTTTCCTGTCTGGATGAAGCCATCCACAACCTCACGTTAGCGCTAAAACGCTACGGTTATTATGACAACACGGTTATAGTGTACTCCTCAGACAATGGAGGCCAGCCGTTAGCTGGTGGAAGCAACTGGCCTTTGAGAGGGAGTAAGGCCACCTACTGGGAGGGTGGTATCAGGGCGGTGGGCTTTGTTCACAGTCCCCTGTTGGTGAGAAAAGGGACAAAATGTCGGTCTTTGGTCCACATTACTGACTGGTTTCCTACACTGGTGACCCTGGGTGAGGGAACTTTAGACGAAGACCTAAATCTTGACGGGTACGATGTCTGGGAGGCTATCAGTGAAGGCCGTCCCTCGCCTCGCCAGGACATTCTCCACAACATTGACCCAATTTACATTAAAGCTAAGAATGGTTCATGGAAGGCCGGGTATGGTTTGTGGAACACAGCCATCCAGGCTGCTCTTCGAGTGGGCCACTGGAAGCTCCTAACAGGTGTTCCTGGCTACAGTGACTGGGTGCCCCCGCAGACCTTCTCCCACCAGCGGTTAACCAATCGCTATCATAACGAACGTGTCCGTTGGGACAGGGGTAAATCCGTCTGGCTGTTCAACATCACTGCTGATCCTTATGAGAGAGTGGATTTGTCTCAGCGCTACCCACACATAGTGAAGAAGATGCTGATGCGCCTCGCACAGTACAACAAGACTGCTGTGCCGGTACGCTACCCGGCTAAAGACCTCCGATCTAACCCTCAGTACAACGGGGGCGTGTGGGGACCCTGGTACAAAGACGAGAGGGAGGAACAGGAGGAAGACGAGCGGTACAATCACTTGTTCACCAACCATCTCGGTAAAAGAAGGTGGAAAAAGAAATCAAAGAGCAGGAAGCTGAAAAGGAAGGTAGAAGAGTAGCCTACCGCATTTGTGAAAGACTTCCGTTGCCTTTTCTCAGGGATTGACACTTCCTGCTTCAGGATTGTCTTTTCAGATGTTCTAACTCCAGGTATTTTTTTAACCCAACTCCAGGATATACTGTATGAAAAAAAACAATGCAGATGGACCTTTCAGAATGCCTCAACAGAATAAGGAAAAGATCACTTGTTCAAACACTACTGCCATGCCCAGACACAACTAAGACCTCATGTTAATGTTAGGGGCATTTAAAGAATGTTTATTTTTCTAGATTCTGTTGCATGCTTGAACTGTTGTCACCTTTGAATTGTTCTCGTAGATTCACTTAGAGTAGTAAATACATCTTCCTAGACAGTTGCCATAAATGTTTGGTGACAGAGAAGTAAGACATAGTTCTATTATGTTGTTGATTGGAGCACGACAGCAACGTGGAAACAGATGTAGGATTTATGTGACGTGTGAGTTGATGTACGTTTTTTTTTTTATAAGCACAGTCTGTCTGAACTTTAGAATAATAGATTTTCGTTCCCTCTTTTAGATAATGTCTGGTCCGGCACCAGGCCAACCTGAATGTAAGACAACTAACAGAATAAAAGCCCCAGACACAAAGGTTTTTTGTCTCCTGCAATCTTTCAAGCTCTGTCTGGTTCACATTTTATTACAGACAGATTTACTTTATTCTGATGACAATAAGTACTCTGGAAAAGTTTTAACATCTCTTCTATATTTAGAAGCTGACACGCGGCCACTAGGTGCATTTATTCATGGAAAATACAGTAAAGTTTGACCTCACCGGTGATAAAGACGTAATTGCTTTCTTGCAGTCCCTAAAAATTGCCTGCTTCATCAGTTATGGTGCGCTGTACACAATGTTGTGATCAAGGAAAATGGAGTGAACATAGCTCACAATCTCTAAAGCAATATTTTTATATGCATCTGTTGCTTGGTGCCCGTGGAAACAACTCAAACTTACAATGTTGACTAACTTGAGCTGCTCCTAAGTTTTGCAAGATTTGCTACTTTACAGGCCAATTAGCTGTTTTAATGACACTAAATGACTTCTAAATGTACTGCACTGCTTGCTGTTGCCTAACTCGTGGCTCTGGTACAAACTGAGGGATCAGAATTGTTATGAACAACAGGAGAGGGGCTTCCCCGGTGGAAAGCGTGCCAGGCTGCACTGCACATCCCTCCCATCCACTCTAACTTGGATCCCCCTGCGTTTGCAGCGTACTTAGCGCCAAGTTATGACCTCAGAAACCGACTCAGCTTTCTCAGCAGCGTTTGTGTTAAGACAGTTCTTTAGATCCTCAACCTCCGCAAATCCGAAGCCGGAGAGGTCCATCCGAGTTAATCGTTCCGCTTTCCCTCAGCTCCTTCACCTTGATTTGTTTCTGCGGGGTAGATTGTACCCATGGGAACAGCATTTACCTGGTTTTATTCTTCACCGTAAAACACAGGGGATGCCCGTTTGGGTATTAGGTGCTACAGCTGAGAGTTACAGAAGATCAGATTCTTATTTTGTTGCTGAATTTCCCCCCCTTCCCGTGGGCCATAGGAACACTTAAACCCTGGATTCTCTGGGAATTCACATTTGCTTTCAGTTATGGGCATTAGCATCCCTCTTATGGGGAAAAAAAAAAAAAGCAAAAAGAGTATTTTTTTTTCCCTGTAACTGAGCTCTGAAGCAATACATCAAGCTCCCTCATCCTGAAGAATACCCATTAGTGCTCATTGGGAATGATATGAGAAAATAAACCAGATAAATGGCAATCCAAGGAAGCTTTGATGTCACTGAAGTGCGGCGGTGCGATTTTCCCCCGGATCGGGTTGGGTTTTCTTTCAGCTGCGGCACCGTGTGAAACGTATAGCTTCGGCTTCTCGCATGATCAAGGTGCAAATTAGCCGAATTATGCGCAGACCAGCTGGAACGGGCTGAACCACCTGGCCGCCAAGAGCTACACACTAAAAACACCATGACTCAGCTCGGTTCGGGCTCTCCCAAAGTCAAAATATCAAGCAACTGTTGTCCAAAAGCATCAGAATTAATACAGCATCTCATGAAATATCTTGTGAACGCCACCCAAAACGCCAGATCACATTTAATGCTTGCGACGTAGCTAGCTCGGAGCATTACTCACTGCAGGGCCGTGCGCTCCAGCTACTTGGCAAAAATTGTGACATTCCATTCATAAGAGGTAGTTGAGTTTTTTTCTCAAGTGGTTGTACAAGCTTATGAAACGGCTGCTGTTATGTTTTTCAGTGATGTCATAGGATGTCCTGCTTAGGAAGCGGCCTCGAAAGTCAGCAAAAATGTGCCAAAAATGATAAAGACGATAACATCCTTTTTCCTGTAAGAAATGACGCAGCGCTGGAAAACACACCGTCGTAATTACAGGCCCACCTACATGAGTTAGAGCATCTCTGACACGTATAGAAGCCCATGAGAAGATTTTTAAGCGTGCAAGAGAAGACAGGACAGCGCATTAATCTGATGGACAGTCTCTCTTGGCACTTTCTCTCCAGACGTGGGGATTTCCTGTAATGAGCAATTTCACCCATGCACAACTGGAACCTCTCTCCGTCTTCAGCGAAAAGGTCCAACGCTGTATCCAGTTTATGACACATGGCCCCGTTTTGTGTTTCCCCAAGACCACTCCCTTAATATCTTAATATTTCTCCTGTTTCCTTTCATTAATCTTGTTGAGTGCTTGCCTGTATTCACCCTTTCTTCTTTCCCTCTCAACCGTTCACACTCTTTCCTTTTTATCCCTGTCATTATTTCTTGTAATGCTTTTTTTTCTCTCTCTTTCTCTTCATCCTCTGTTTTCTGATTCGCTCATCCTCTGAAAGTTCAAGTCCAGACCTGTGGAGGTTTTGTTTGCTGCATTAAAAAGGAAAACCCGGATCTCACGAACCAACACGGTGTCTTCCGTCTCGGAGCCGTATCGCCTCATTCACCTCTTCTGCCTTCTCAACATGCATGTTCGCTCAGCTGCAGCATAATCTCTGCTGCACTGCAGCCAAAACGTGCCGCTACGTCACTCGCTTCCAAATCCAACAAGTACAGAAGAAGAATGTGATTTTTTTCCCCATGTTGCATACTTTATGTGCTGCATGTAGCACTTTAAAAGTCTATCACTGTCAAAGAAATACTGACACTTAGCAAAAACCTGATAGACAATAGATGGCATTTCTTCCACCCAATGATAGTATCGTTTCTCAAAATTCAAACCATCTGCAAGATCAGGGATGTAAACAGTATAACCACATGCTGTTGTGTACTGGTGGCCCGTTACACACATGTTGTAATCCGACACATAAAAGCTAAATAAGTGAAACGTACTTTCTGTAACAGCTTGTGTGTACTCGATGTATCAAGTGCCATATGGTCTTGGTGCTGATTTCGGGGGGAGGTGAAACACCATCTCCTGGACGGAAATGTTTATCAAATCCGCGGATTCATTAGTTGTAGTTCCACAGCTGGGATTACTCTCCTCCGTGGACGTATGGAGATTTTCCGAATCCGGCATCAACAGGTCCATCTCTTTTGCCGCAGAAGTTTTCCTCCTCAAGGCAGATTTATGGTTCCCCCGCTGGTGTCTGTGTGCGCAGCTCTCCGCATATGCAAAGTGAAGGATTATGGGAAGTTAACAAGCACAGAGGTTATAGAGATGCGTGCAGACTCATCTGATTTCTCTGAGCATCACCTCCGTCCTCCTGCTTGTGACCCAGCAATCGATCTTAACGCACCATCTTGAAGAAAGTTTCAGTTCCATAAAATGCATCTTGAAGAGAGGCGCAACGATGCAGAGGGCCAAAGTTAATCCTTTGTAGAAGTCTTTTTGGCACCCTTAACATACGAAAGTTGTGACCAGAATATCGAACCAAGTCGAGAGCAGAACTGACAAATGTGTGTATACAATATATATCACTCTGTCATAACATACGTCACGGTTTTGCATTGTATAGTTTTGTGTGCCACCACTCTTTTCTACTTTACAACAAAAATAAGCGCGTGTGACGTCCGTACATTCTTGCCGCATTGTGCGACATTGTGAATTGACTCATAAGTAAGTATATCCTGTACGTTATCAAGAACACCAGATTAGAGATTAGATAGAACTTTATTGATCCCTTTGGTAGGGTACCACTGTGCTGATCTGACAGAAATCGTCAGATAAAGTGGTTTTCTATTAGAAAACAACAGGTGGATGAAGCTGCTGTGCCACGTGTCATATTTAATTAACACGACTTTAAATTACAGCTCAAGGCAAGGGTGTTTTATTTTGTTAAACGCCTTGATTTCTCTTGTTTTCTCGCCTCCTCCACTTGCATCTCTGGTGGGAGGGACTGAGATGTGAGGAGAGGAGTCAGAAAGGAAAGAAATCGAGGATGTACAAACTGAAAAGTGAGAAGAGAGTTATGACTTCTGTCTTCTGTGTTTCAGGGGCAAAAGTAGAAAGGGAGCACAAACATGAATAACCTACATTTCTGGTTGTTCCACAAATAGGTACAGTTGTTAAACCAGAAACATCTAATGAACCAATCACATGGCATTAATCTAATTCATTAAGGCATACAGTTATAGTCAAGGCGGCCTGCTGAAGTTCAAACCGAGCATCAGAATTGGGGAAGAAAGGTGGTTTAAGTGACTTTGAACGTTGTTGGTGCCAGACGAGTTGGTCTGACTATTTACGAAACTGCTTATCTGCTTGAATTTTCACTCACAACCATCCCTAGATAATACAGAGAATGGTCTGAAAAAGAGAAAATATCCAGTGAGCTGAAGTGCCAACAGTGTTGAAGAAAGATAAAGAAAGATAGAAAGATAACGCGCCATGTCACGAAGCTCAAATCGTCTCAAACTGGTTTCTTCAACATGACAATGAGTTCACCGCCTCCAGAGTCTCAATCCAATAGAACACCTTTGGGACGTGGTGGAACGGGAGATTCGCATCTTGGACGTGCAGCCGACAAATCTGCAGCGATGTTGTCACATCAATATGGACCTCTGTGGAATGTTTCCAGCTTCTTGTTGAATCTGTGCGACGAAGAATGAAGACAGTAATGAAGGCAAAACGGGAGTCCAACCTGGTACTAGCAGAGCAGTTCCCCAAAGTACACTGTGTTCCAGGACACTTTATTTGGTTTGTTATGACCTCTCCAGCAAAAAAACACAGTGCAAGGAAGAATTTGGAGTTAGTAGGTCAGCTGACAAGTTGGAAATCCCTAAGGCAGATGGCAGAATGTCTATTTAAGGCACTAATTTCTGTGTTCTGTCTGAGATGATTCATATAAGAATCGTTTTTTTCGAAAGCTGCTGGAAGTTCATGCTGCTTGCCCCACTCATATTTGTGCAGCTTCCCTGAATCACCACAGCGGAGGTAAAGAGTGACCCATAGATCCACAATAACCGCATTAATGGGAAATATGCCAGTTTGAAACAAACCAGAATCCTTTCTCCTAAGTAAAGTACCAGAGTTACATTTGTAACAACGAAGGAGCAGCACGATCAGAAACAACACTACATTCCCACATTGACTTCAGACAGAACATTGTTTTCCTCACTAATTGACCGCTGATGTAATGTTCAGCTCATCTCGTCCT